AATGCAGCCATGGGATCTCCTTTACCTCCATTTGCGCTCTACATCCATATGGAGCCATCAGAACAAGAAATTCTGGAAAATGCAACTTTAAAACCAAAATGATAATGCTGGTTCAATTACGTGGACGATACTTTCGTGATTGCACGATGCTGAGAAACTAGAAGAGTTCCTACAAATTCCCAACTCACATTATCCAAACATCAAGTCTACAATGGAGCGGGAATACTAAGGAAAATTAACCTTCCTAGATGTTATGTTATCCTGTCGGTCACATGGCACCTTAGGACACTGTCGCTACCGGAAGTCCACCTATATCAACAGATATCTCAATGCCAACTCTCATCATTCACAGTTACTGATCAACTCCTTCACTATTTACAAACCAAAACCTTTGGACAAGAAACTTCGTTTTGACACTGACACACTTATCAGTAAGGGGTACTGGAGGTGTGATGTGAATTGTACAATACTAAAATATCGATAACCCAGCAGAGCGGTACTCAAGACCACTGAAGAAGAGTCAAACTTCAAAGCATATCTGCCATTCTTTAAAGGAGTCACGGACAAAATTGATCGAGTTCTGCAAAAGGAAGGCGTCAAGACAATAGTCAACACTTCTGGTAAACGTAAGAACGAGCTTTCCAGGGTGAAGGATATTGTTCCTATGGAATCTAAGGGAGTCTATCGGATTCCACACTCCTGTGGAAAGGTGTACATGTATACATCGGGGAAACAGATATATCCATCGAAACCAGAATAAAAGAACATGAGAGGTCCATTTAACTGAAACAATTGTTCTAAATGTCTCCCACCTATTCGCGCCTCTCTTTTTAGATATGGTTACTACCAGGTTCCGTTTATAATCCTCTGGGACTTCCCCGACGATCATATAAAACTAATTTTTCTATCCTTCCAGAAGAGACAATGCATCTACAAAGGCGTGAAATGATAGCAACCAATCAAACTCAGATTTCGTAATTGTAATATTAGTTAGAATTACTATCTAACGAATTCCTCCGTTTTAATTAAAAAGACGCTGTTATAAGTGTGTAGGAGTTTATAAATACTTAATTATTTAATTGTTTGACCTACTAGTTTGCTACTAACAATAGTTATACTGTATGTAGTCTATTAAAATATCAGTTGCTCTTTTGTATTGATTACAATAATCTCAGCAATATTTCGTCTGTTGTTGATCTACGAATTATTTTATATCTAGGAAATAATCGCGCAGTCTGAACAAATTATATGACAAGTTATAAAAAGGTGTGACCTAATGTAAATGTTGTAGCAAAATGGACTTTAGTTTTTCTCACTCATGAGAAAGATACAATCTCAAGCTTTATTATGGGTAACGCTTCATGTTCCTATTGAAAAAAGAAGAAGTAATTTGATAGTCATGAATTTTAAAATCTGGATAGGAAAAAAAATGAAAATAAAAGCTGTAAAAACGATCGTTATTCTTTAAGTGTGATTTACTTTATTTTTATTATATCAAATAGTAGTAAGTAGTATTGTTTTTAAGCAGTTTGGGTGATTTAATACGTTATTTGCATATATTATAAATTTATTTTAGTTTTATTTCTCACTACTCGATTTAGTTCTAACAATAAAATACCAAGAAAATGAAAACTAATTATTTTAACCTTGAATAAGTTAGTAACATCTGAAAATACCAACAAATATTTGACCTAAGGTAGAACGTGGAAAGACACTGCTAAATGTCTTTTGTTGTCACAAAAAATTAGCAGTCGAATATAAAGCCAGTATTGTTATCAAAAAATAATTAGTTTCTTACATTATTGCTCAACCGTACAACTCATGGGCGACAAAATCTAACCAAAATCAGAGAAAAGTGAACAAGTTCATTTTAGAACATGTAAACAATTTATATAATTGTTAGCACATAGAAATAATTTGATTTGATCAGAATTTGTTTTTTTATTTTTCAGTTTTGTTTACCACAAAAAAAATACGAAATTTTTGCCGTGAAATCACGAGCAATTTTTTTCTCAAAATTTTGGT